CCCCAAAACCCCAAAACCCCAAAACCCCAAAACCCCAATACGAGCCAGAAATATTGAACAATAAGTTTATGAAGAATTCAAATTAGTTAGGATTCTTTGTGCCTCAGAGGAGGGAACTCTGGATATAAGCTCTTTGTTGCTATATTTGAGGCCAAGAACTTCTGAAGTTATCTATCAGCTCTAATATATCCTCCTTTGTATAGGAAAAATTAGTTTTGGCACTGAAGGAATGCAGGAGAAGGGAGTAAAAATCAAAAGCTATAGCTGCATCTTTTTCTTTCTTATAACTTCCAATATAAGTTTTCGTCTTTTTGATAGTGATTAAGGATTGCCAGTGAGGACCGTTTCGGGAGACTCCGATATACTCTGATCTTTTTGTACTAACTGCTCCTCTCCTAGATCTTGCCTTCTTTTTGGGGGTTACTAGTACAGTATCTGAAGGCATCGCACTGATGATCTTTAGGAAAGCTTCAGCCCTTTGGCTGAAATTTCCTAGTTTGAATAGCAAGCTCTTCTCAGGGTCAAGGCTGCTGCTTTCTGTAGATCTGAGGGTGCTGACAGGCCTAAAAGGACTGTCAGTTCCACTGAATGTTATAGAGGAGCTATTTGGAGAAATTCCAGGTCCTTTCCTTCCCACTGAGGTTGGGCTAGATGTCCCGCCTACAAGCTCAAGTAATTTGAGACGTGTATCAGTTGAGTGATTTTGTGGCTGGACTTGGATACCTTCCAAGTTACATAATCAAAATTGCTCCTGGATGCTAGTCAGAGCTTGGATTTCCAGGCTCAGCCCTTGCTGTGGAAGGGCCACGCTTGGGATGTACTCAACTCGGCTGATGAACAGCTCGTTCTTTTTCTGGGGGTGAGGTAACTCTCTTGATAAGCTTTGCATCTACAAATGATTAGGATATGAAAAGACTAGCAACAGAGGGTAGTAAGAAATATAATAATCTCAGTCATTCCGTTGATAAAAGTTCTTTTGGCATGATTTACCTCAAACTTTGGAGCTTCGACATGCTTAACTGGGGTAATTTGGTCGGTTGACCAGATTTCGGTGGTTGGGCTCATGATCCAAATAGCACTCATTTGTTAAACTTAAAATTATAAAAACCGAAGGTTTAAATAGTTACACAAGATTGGGATACCAATAGGTTAGCATATCTGTTAAAGAGAGTTAGGCTCCTAGACGTATATGGGAATCCTACTTCATTTTCTTCGTGATATTCTGCTATTTCAACGAGTCTGGCTGAGTTTTTGAAAATTTGAAATCTAAATTTGATGCTGATCTTCTTGTAACCATCAAAGACATTATTAAAATCCTTCTAAATAGTAGAAAGATATTATTAGGCTTCTAGAAAAAGGGTAGGATACGTTGATGCGACGGAGGGCTGAACCATCTCAGATTGAGCTGAGATAACTCTAATGGCTCGATCTCCTCTAATTTCGCATTGATTCGTCCTGAACCGATTACTTCCAATTGCTGTGGAAGCCATGATGCTGGCTCTTCTGGAAAACTAGTCGTTAATGAGTTCCATTTGTGCAGAGACGGTATTCAGTTCCAAGGCTTAATTGATTGCTAAAGTTCGTAAACTCACGACTTCATAAGTGAAATTTTGGCTATTTTAAAATTTCTGTTAACAGGAAAAGTTTTAATAATTTATGAAAATTTCGAATTTAGGAATAAAATTTTCTAAAGAGCTTTAAAATATCAAGAATGAAAACTCTTAGAAAGGGTTTATCCCCAGAATTAGGGTATCTCTTGCCCAAAATCCTCCCTGTCAGGCTAGCTTGGATCTAGCCACCTCTTTCTGGGTATCAAAACTCGATGGTTGTGAAAGGGCACAAATTATTGAGATCTAGGTTTTTACTACCAATTCTAACTAGGGCTGAGAAGCTGAGCTTAGCAGAAATTTTGTATGAGGTTGGCTAGACAATTCATCAGCAGTCAAGATACCCATATGGCTGCTTAGGAGTGCAACATTGCTTTCTTTTTGGTTCTAAAAAATGTGATCGGAGTATTTACACACTTTTGCATTGTTTCAGGCCAAATATTACCCGAAGGCTTTATATTACAGGATTTTACATTTAGTCATACCTTAGAGATCTTTGAAGAGATTTCTCTTAAAATTTTTAGCTTTTTATGCAAACTTAGAGTGTAAAAACCTGTTTGAAAATCTTTTACTAGGGCCTTAGGAGGACCTTCCATAGCAGTATTAACCTCAAATGGGGAAGATGGGGCTCTTAAGAAGTACACATTCACCCCCTAACAGGCATCTTAGTGGAGGTTTAAGAAACTAAACTGCATTAAATTATTGAAGAATTTGTCTCTGAGGAATCTTTTCTTACATAACTTCTTGGGTATGTGGAGTATCCATATTTTATCAAAAGTAGCTGGAAGAGCTTCCCCAATGATCCTCAAATTTTTTGAGAGGAAAGAAAGCAGACCAGGGTTGCCTGGCTGCCTTGTTCTGGTAACTTATCAAAGTGGCAGGTTTTGCTTTGGAGAATTCTAAATTATTAGACATTTTTAACATTTGGGAAAGAACAAATCGTTTGTACATCTCATAACTTTCAAGATAAGTGAGGAATCTTTCAGATTCCGGACTTCTTAAAGCTAGAGCCGAAGAGACTGGGCTTGCTCAGTCTTGTCTGACTTGATTATAAGAGTCTGTAGGATACGGCTGTTTACATTTCCTCAGGTATCTTCCCAAAGAAGTAGTGGAGACGCCTTCAGATCTTCTCATTTCTGTTGCAAAGCAGGACTCCTTTTATAAGAATTTTTCTTAAATTTTAGGATAGGTATAAAAATGATTTGAATAAAAGTTTTGATAATATTGAGGAATATGAATTCTTCAAAAAGTAATTGTTACAATAATTTCTCCCTCTGGATCTGCTGTCAACCTTGACGATTTCAAGGATCCACAAGAGGATTATGAGGTATTGGTAATCGTTTGAGAAGGTTATTCAGGCTGAGGGCTTCCCCTAGCGAATGCAGAGGCTCTCCGGGTCTGTAATATTGTCAACCTGGTGAGGTCTTGATGAAGTCGTTGTCGTCCATTCTGCTCTCAATTCACTTTTATAGTTGAGGTACCACTCTGCTCAGTGTTCTGAAAATTAGTCGACTGCTTTTGCTTATGAAATGTTCATAACTGGAGTATTCAAAAATTTTATTTCCTCAGATGAGTTAGGCTGCTAATTTTTCAGCATGAAAATTGTTTTATGGCATTCATGACCAACTTCCCCAAGCTTGGGGAAACACTTGGAGGTCCTCTCAACTTCGTAAGTACATGCAAAGTTATATGCATAACAGTAGCATTCTTTAGTCTTTTGGGGATGTAAAATCCCTACAATTTTGAGGAAAATTGGTAGAACCAATAACTATTGGATCCTTATACATAAGACGACTCGTGTGGAGTAAATCCTTCTGAGTGCAATGCTTTGGGAGATCTCTTGGGTTCTAAATCGTATCCGTGGAATAGGTATTATTAAGTCATATCTATTTTCAATTGAAACAGCAAGTAAAGGGGTTTTGGGGTTTTGGGGTTTTGGGGTTTTGGGG